GCCCTGTTTAACAGCAGCCAAGGATGCTAATAAAGATGGGTAGTTTAAGAAAAACCACAGATAGCACTGAAGAATAAGCGAGGAAGGAACTATGACCAAGGTGACTCACATTTTAAGAGTGAAAGAGAAAAGGCTCCTATTCATGTTTAACATTTTTCCTCCTAAGTGAGGAGGAAAGATTGCTCCTTAAATTGCTAAAGACTCCAGCTCTGCCTCCACAACCTTTAACACACATTCCCACTTTGAAATTCACAGCGATTTTGCTCCACATGGAACAACGGTGATGTCAATGACACACTCCCTCTCCTCCCCACTGCCTAATTCAGCAGCACAGACGAAAGACTCCAGGCATCCAAACTGATGAGAGTGAGATGGAGAGGGGACCTCTGAGGTCAGAAAGAACAAAAGAAGGAGCCCCAGACCCTGCCACAGTCACGTCCACTGCAGACGGAGACCCAGTGCAGCTCAGAGACACAGGGAAAAGCAACCCTTCAAGGGCACAGAGGAAACAAGGAGAGGAATGCAATTAGCAATGTTGCTGTATCTCCCCTGTTATCGTCAGGGATTCTGGACTTACTCAGATGGAATACTCTATTTTAAGGGTGAAGTTGAGCTCGTCTAGTCCAAGATGGAAAATCAGGTGGCAGCACACATTAGCACATGCACAGAGTCCTCCGCAGGCAGAAGCCCCCACCGCCTCTCCTGCAGTATCACTAGACATCACCCAACACCATTTCCTATCTTAACTGGTTACAGAGTCTGAGGACAGCCCTAAAGCCATCTAAGTATGCCCCTTTCAATTTCTAAATGAGGAAACCGAGGATCAGAGAGAGAGAGAAATGTGTCCCAAAGGCTTTTAACTATGTGGCAGGATCTGTTTATATAACCTAGGACCCTGGGAGTCTTAACCTTGTTTTTTCTACTACAATGATGCTGTTCCCCTTCTTTCTTTATTGGACTAAATTAACACCCAAACCACAGAATTATCTTGAAAGGGGTAAAATTAAACATTAGGATCAAAATTTAGATAAAGGAAAAGCTAACATCCAGTATACAATAATCTCAGCACTGCAGACAGAACCCACAAGTCTGACTTTTGCTTCTTCAGGACCTGAGGGAACCCAGCATCAGGGCAGAGGTCCCCAGGAACAGCCTGGGAGTGAATGCTGCTGACAACTGCCAGGACTCACTCTTCTGCCTCGGGGCCTTTGCACTGCCTCTTCCCTCTACAGGTGCTCCTTCCCTAGATATCCACAGGGCTCACTCTCTTGCCTCCTTCAAGTCTGTACTCAAAAGCTGCCTTCTCAAGCCCACCCTGACCACTCACTTTTAAATTGTTCCCTGATACTCCCAATCTTCTGAACCCTACTTAATTTTTCGCATAGTAATTTCACATTCTAACCAGGCTATACAACTTATGTATTTATTATGTTCATTATCTACCACCTCCCATTTTTAATAAATATGCATGAGGAAAAGGAATTTTGTCTTTTGGTTCACTCCTGATTCCCCTGGGTCTAGAATAGTATCTGTCATATAATAGATGCTCAATAAATACTGGTTGAATAAATGAAAGAATGCTTACTCTTTCCCTCTGCTCCTTGTCCCTTCCCTTTCTCCTTTAGCAACAACCACTTACTCCCTTCACACACACTCTCTCTCTCTCCCTCACACACACACACACACACACACACACACACACACACAATCCAGTCCGCCCCTTTCTCTTCTTTGCCAGCTGTATCTCAGGCCTGTCATTAAGAGCCACAGGATATTTAGACTAAATTACAACAGTCAGTAAAGATACTAATATTACCAAGTCCTTCATTAGAAATTCATATTTTATATGGATATATCATTTTGTACGGACTTCCCACTGACTCAGTGGTAAGGAATCTGCCTGTAATGCAGGAAATGTGGGTTTGATCTCTGGGTTGGGAAGATCCCCCTGGAGGAGTAAATGGCAACCCACTCCAGTATCCTTGCCGAGAAAATCCCATGGACAGATGAGCCTGGCAGGCTACAGTCCATAGTGTCGCAAAGAGTCAGACACATCTGAACAACTGAGCACACACACTCACATGGTTTTGTATGCATGAAAAAACTCTAGAAGGATACGTAAGAAACTGATACTCTTGGGTCTCTCCAGGAACCTAGGTGGCTGGGGCATAGACTAATCATTCTCTATACTTCTGTATTATTTGAACTTTAAACTACATGAATATAATTAACTTTTAAACATATTAAATTAAAAATTAAAATAATAAAAAAACTAAAAAAAAAAAACCCTCACATATTCCTCCACTCTTATCCTCAATACCATCTTAATACACATTTTTCGGGGTGAAGCTGACCCGAACACCACCAGCCATGGGTTAGGATGGTGAGACAGGGTGGAAAGTGGTCCTTTTCTATAGTTCCCATATTTTCTTAAATGAGATTGTTACTTTTATAATGAAATATTTGAAGTTTTCATCAACAGAAGGATATGAATTAATGCAAATTTCTCTGCATACATAAAACATTGAGACTCTGTTTCAATTCATGAATCCCTTTACCTTTAATTTCGTTTCCTCCCATTTGGATTTCACATGAACAGATTTCTGAATAAGTTGTCTAAGATGGTGCCAGAGTCTCTGGAGGTGCAGATGAAGAACAGACAATGCCGTCATGGAGGTTTCACCCAGTGAGGACAATCACAAGCAAGCAAGATTCAAAGGACACACTTGAAAAGGACAGCTGTCATGAATAGGCCAGTGGATTATGTGCAATTTTCATGTTTTCCCTTTGGGATTTTCAAATTGTTCCAAATGTTCTGCCCTGAGATGTACAACTGAACTTAGAACTTTTCTCCCTTACTATACTGTGGAGTGAAAGTGAAAGTGTTAGTCCCTCAATTGTATCCAACTCTTTGTGGGTGCCATGGATGGTAGCCCACCAGGCTACTCTATCCATGGAATTCTCCAGGCAAGAATACTGGAGAGGGTTGCCATGTCCTTCTTCAGGGGATCTTCCCGACCCAAGGATTGAACCCACGTCTCCCACACTGCAAGCAGATTCTTTACCATTTAAGCTTCCCAGGAAAGTGTATACTGTGGAGTAAATATATGTTATTCATCATTGACCTTCTCTAGGCTGTGAGCTGAGATGAAAAGTAACAACCAAAGTTACTTCTAATTTAAAAAAGAAAAGAACAGGTACCCTGGATCAAGAAAGACACTAAAAGTTGAGAGTACCAGTTAAGAGAGGAACATGGAAACAAGGTCTCTAGGCTGTGACCTTCCTGAGAATGTTTAACTCATCTTTGTGTTCTCAGACTCCAACTTGGCACTTTGCAACAGTGGCTACTCCATAAGTGGATAATGAATGAATCAATGACTATCTCTCAGCTCCCAGTGAGGAACTGCAAGACATACCCCAGTACCTAACCTGAAGAGCCAATGCCTACTCTCTGTTCACCATCTGTTCACTTTCGCCATCATTCATGGGCGAGTTCTGTTCTGGGCAAGGGAAAGGAAGCCAGAGCTACTCAAGCATGGGTATGTGACATCCTCTAAGAAAGGGTGTGTGCAGCCTTTTAGTGGCCCAGCCTTTAATGTAATTGGATGCCAAGCAGTTAATGCTGGTTTCATGCTTGGAGGTTTTAGTAACTTTCACTAACTGTCCTTTGATCTCCTTCTGGGCATTCACCTCAAGGAAATAACTATATATAGATTAAACCAGAACCATGTTCATTAAAGAACCTTTTAAAATAGAGAAAAGCTGGAAATAACCTAAACATGAAACTATATGAGATTAAGTAAATAAATATTAGGATAACTCTATAATTGAGTACTCTCACATTACAATTGCTATAGACTCATATAATTCACAGCCCAAAAACTGGCGGTGTGCATTCTTTGAGCTGTATCTGCTTGGTTTTATTCCCTTATACCAAATGACTTAATAGTCTCATTTTTTTGTAAATTACTTTACATTTTGGCCTACATTTTCTCTTCTGTAATTAAAGGCATTACTTAATCATTAAAAAAAAGTTCATTGACATAGAAACACTGTTCATGATAAGACATTAAATGACAATATATATTATTAAAGAATATATGTGGTATCATATCACAATATGAGAAGTCATATTGATATATGATATATATTAATATATATGATACTATATGTCTAGAGAGGGATCTAGAAAGCTCAATGGTTGTCTTTGGGGTAAATAGGATTTGGGCCTGATTTTTCCCTCTTTCATTTGTCTTACATTTCTGGTGCCTTTGTAATAAGCATGTGCTGCTTTGCAACAATAAAAAACAACAACCAAAGTCACTTCTAATTGAAAAAAGAAAAGAACACCACCCTGGATTAAGAAAGACACTAAAAGGTGAGAGTAAGAGTTAAGAGGAACATGGAAATAAGAGCCAGCCTCACTGAAGCTGCCTTCTCCCAGAGACAAAGCCCCGCTCCAGTCACCTCCAAATTTACAAAGATAGCAGTTCCACCAAACCACACTTGCCCTCACACCTCAAGTTAAAGCACATCTACCACACATGTGGTCCTCACCAAGAGTGGCAGGATCACTTGAGTCTCCCTTGGGACAGGGCCGGGGAGGGGAGAAAGGTACCAGGGAACTGACAGGAGACACATTGCCCAGGCCAGGCAACATCTGTCAGAAAGGGACCCCTGTTCACAAATGAAACAACTGTGACATGCACTTGGCAACTTCTGAGAAACAGGAATGAATGTCCAGAGGTGCTTCTCACCTAAAATAACCCAGTTTCAGGTAAGAAGACAGTTCAATCCAGAATGTGGAGGGAGGGGGGAAAAAAATTAACATATTCTCATAGAGATGGTTAACCAGAACTACCACAGCTGAAGCAGGAACCGCATGCTTCAGGGTAGATGGGAGATCAGAGTCCATAAAGAAGGGCATCCAGGTAGGGTGGAACCGAGCGGTGGAGGGAAGATCTCTTCTCATACTATCCATCCACACAACTGGTTGTAAGTCAATAGATACTTTTCTCGGGGTTATTCTGAAAGCTTCTGGACTCCTGCTGCTTCTTCGGCTTCTCTGGCCTTTGTTCCAGCTTTTGTGGTTGTAAAGTGAGAGTCACTACGTGTCCTCCATTCGGTGGGTCCTGGGTAGACAGCCAGGGAACTGTTATGGGTGGCCCTTGGTCATTGCTGGCATCTGTGAACAGGGAGAGTGCTTATCACGATGGGACTCCATTCTCCCATTTCCATCACGTCAATGATGCACAGGAGCAGGACAAGGAGGATGGAGTGGGCAGTGGGCAGGGTACAGCAGGAGCCTGGGGAGGGAGCTGGGCAGGAGGTTAACAAGGGTGCCAGGGCTGCCAGGACAGCAGGAGGAAGGAAGGACCCAGGATGGAATGACATGGTCAGAGATGAAAGAACTCAGGAAGAGGGGCAGAAGGCAGGAGGATCAGGAAGAGGGGCAGAAGGCAGGAGGATCAGGAAGAGGGGCAGAAGGCAGGAGGATCAGGAAGAGGGGCAGAAGGCAGGAGGATCAGGAAGGGGGGCAGAAGGCAGGAGGATCAGGAAGGGGGCAGAAGGCAGGAGGATCAGGAAGAGGGGCAGAAGGCAGGAGGATCAGGAAGAGGGGCAGAAGGCAGGAGGATCAGGAAGAGGGGCAGAAGGCAGGAGGATCAGGAAGAGGGGCAGAAGGCAGGAGAGAGGCAAGGCCAGCTGGGGCTGGAAGGCCCATCATACTCCTTGCCATGCCCTTGTCACCTCCTGCTTTGCCCATCTGCCTCCCATTCCTTGCCTTCTGGTCGGTAGAGGCCATCCCAGCCCCACTCCCAACCCCTACCTAGTACTAACCCTCCTCTATGCCCTACCAGGAAAATAAACTTACTTCTGCCCTTCTTGGGCCTGTGTGCCTCCAGCTCCAGTATCCTTGATGCTCCTCTTGCTGTGGAGGCAATCCCTCCAGGCATCGGTTTCCTTGGCCTCTGGCAGAATATTGCAATCTGTGCTTTCAAAATCTCCTCTCTTCCCATTCTTCAGGAGGGCGTCAGCACGTTCTGTCCCTCGACAGGACAAGATCCAGCAGGAGTGGGCAACGCAGGGTCAAATCCGAGACACCAGACTGAGAGGACAGGAAGGGGAAACATGGGACAGTCCTGGGTGATCTGGACCATCTGGTCACCTCATTCTAGTTTTACGAGTGGATATTTAGACAAGGAGACTAAGGGGGATCAGCATTCTAGGTCCAGTGTACAGCAGTGTACGGGGTCACCCCGTACTTTTTACTTGGCACCCAAGACCTTTCATCACCATGGATCTTCACAGGTGCAAGCAGGACAGTTTCATGCTTTAAAACCATGTGAACACTAATGTAATCAACAACCAGCTCAGTTTGAATCAGCCTCCATGGAAGCAGGTCCAGCAGTCCCTCTGCCAAGGCTTCCTCTAGGATGAGCATGCCCCCTTGCCAACACCATCCTCTTAGCAGGCCCTTGCCTGGAGTAGTGGACAGGACACAATGCCAACAGAAGACCTTGGACCCAAGCCCAGGAAAAGCCATGAGCTTTCCTTCTGCCTTTCAGCCACAGGACTGTTTGCTAAGCCAAGTTGGATAAACATCTTACAAATGCAAGCATTTCCTGTGGCCACCAGAATGACTGAAATATAAGAATCCATCACTGGTAGCTCCCAAATCTTAGAGTACACACTTTATACCAGACTTTACCATACATCAGAGTCAACTGGAGGCCTTGTTAAATCTAGATGTCGGGGTGACACACCCAGGGTTTCTGATTCAGTAGCTCTGGAGTGGAGGCTGAGAATCTGTATTTCTAACAAATTCCCAGGGGCCGCTGATCCAGGGACTATATTTTGGGAGCCACTGGTCTATACCAAGAGAAATCAACAGTAGCACCTGGCTTATGTTAAGGAATCACTACCATCACAAATGACTCAGACTTAGTACTCTAACCTCACTCAAAGCAGAGGCACAGAAACGCCTGCGACAAAGAGAAAACTAACTCCTGGTCAATGTATTCATTTTAAGGCATTAAAAGGGAAAGAAGTACCTTAGAGTTCATTTCATCTCTCTCCCTCACTTCATTTAATAGTTCTAAGTTTACGGAGATTAAATGACTCACCTACAAAACAATAAAACACAGATAATCGATAGCAGAACCCAAACCCCCACAGCATAAGGTCAAATCATAAATATGGAGTCTTAGAAAACCTAGACTACAAGGATCAAGAGTTTCTACAATCGGTGAATTTGGGCTTTCTTCCTGTCCTCTCCAACAAAGCACTCATTCCATGCCATGGTCATTTCTCAGTAAACCTATGATAGAGGCAGTTCCTGGGTCTCCAAGGTCAACCATGAGTTCACTGTCTGGCACTTAGACTGGTTTTCTCACAGAAATCCCCTTATTACATGCGTAGGGCCTGGGGATAACTCCTCCCAGTAGGCACAGTTTTACTGAACCACAGTGATCTAACACCATGAGGAATATGATTTCCTTAAAATCTCACTCTGAACTCCCACATGGGCCTTTGCCCTTCCTGGTCCCTCTTCCTGGCCCGCTTTTCTCATGCCCGGCTCCTCCTGTCACCCAAGTCTAGTTTTTATGTTTCTTCTTCAAGAGTCACTCCTGAGAAACTAATCCAAGCAGATATCACTCCCACTCTTCCTATCCCATCACCTTCTCTACTTTCTTTACAGGCCCCAGCATGGTGTGAAACATTGTATTCATCATTCACTAGCACCTGAGCTCCAAGGGGGCAGGGACTTGTCCTGTCCCACTCACCACTGTGATCCCAGCTCCTGCAACTGTGCCTAGCACAGAGCCAGTTCTTTATACATATCTGTTAAATAAGTGCACAGAGAAAAAAAGACTCTAAAGCACCAGGAGCATCTTCTTCCCAAGTGGTTAACAAAGTTGGAATCTGAGATTTTCCTTTTCTCTCCCTTTGCATAGTAGGAGTTGGACCCCTTGTGCTTCAACAGGATGTGGAAGGAGAAAATGTCCCCTTAGGCTGGTGTCCTCGATGACAAGAGCAAAAAGACGGGAAATTCCAGGGATCGGAGTGGTACTGAATCACTTCCCAGTGCCAGTGCCCCTTCACATAGAAGGGATGCTGGTGAATCAGGTCTGTCTGGGCACAGGATTGGGGAGGTAAAAGATGTAACGGAAGGATGAGACGCATTAGAGTCGAGGGCTTTGGGCTCCAACCCGAAGCAAGTCATTTCAATCTCTCTGAGCTTCATTAGTTTCTTCATCTGTTAAATAGGAATAGTAAAAATACCCAAGACAGGACTTTTGTCATGGTCCAGTGGTTAAGACTTTGTGCTTCCAATGCAGGGAGTGCAGGTTCGATCCCTAGTTGGTGAAACTAAGATTCCACATGTTGCGTGGTACAGCCAAAAATTTTTTTTCAAATTTTTTAATAAATAAAAAATAACCAAGACATGGGGTACTTGTGAGTTTCAAGGAAATTAGCATAAATAAAACTCTCTGTAAACAGTAAAAGACTATAACTTGCTGTTCGTTAATCAGTAATAAGACCAGGTAGTCTCTGGAGGGATCCAAGCTGATGAAACGTATCAGGGCAGGAATGTCCACTGGTTCCTGCTCTGCCCCCTCATAGTTCTCCCCAGCACCTCCAGGTCTCAGGCTGCTGGGTGGAAACCCTGGCCCAACAGTAGCCGCCTTGGGGTGCTGGCACAGGCCACTCAAAGCCCTGGTGCAGCTGCCAGCAGCATCACAGCCACAGATGGTGCGGCCAGAAGGAGGCCCAGGAGAAGACCACTGTGGGAAGCCGCAGAGGAGCCTGGGGAAACCGTCAGTGGAACTGAACCAGGGCAAGTGGTAGAAAATAGTCTGAGATCCCTGGCCAAAATCTCTGGATAACCTAGAGTCCCATAGCTGGTGACTTCAGAGTAGCCAAGATTCCCGCTTATCACCCTGATTTCTTGACATCCTTGGTGGAGGGTGGGATTGGGTGGGTACAGGGTCTGCACTCCTTCCTTTCCCCCAACCCTATAGTAACCTGGGTGCTGCGTGAACCAATTTCCCATAAGCCAATTTTTTTAAAAAAATTTTATTGGAAAAGAGTTGATTTACAATGTTGTGTTAGTTTCAAGTGTATAGCAGATTGAATCAGTTATACATATACATATATCCACTTTTTTCCTAGATTATTTCCCCATACAGGTCATTACAGAGTCAAATTTTCACACTGCAGGCAAAGAAGTTCTTGGCCACAAGGTGCCCTCACATTACACGTGTCACCTCCTCTGACCCAGTCACTCCCAAATCATTAATCATTCTTCCTCCAGTGATTACCTTAATGACAAATCTGCATGCAAAGAGTAATTTCTCATCCCTTCTACCAAGAATACAATTCATGGGACAACTGGCTACCAACCACATACAACTGGGCACAGTCGTCACATAGCAGTAAGTACATCTTCAGGAAAACATACACAACAGCCAGCTCCCACCTTGGAGCACTACATAACCTGGTTGGAGGCACAGAATTCATTACCCTCACTGTGAACCCCTATGTTCCTCACCAGGAAAAACCACACAGGATGGGGAATAAAGCCAGGGGTCATCTTCAGTGGCTGAGTCCTCTTCTGGCTCTGAAATGCTGCACTGATTGGGTCATCTGGATCACAGGTGAGTTCTTTTATTTCTAGCAATGTTATGAAGTGATTGATGCTGGTGGATCCCAAATCAGAGATGTTCAGGGAGGCATCATGCATCAAGGGGCTTAAAGAAGGAAAGATTTCAACAAGTCAAAATGGTGAGAAAGGGAGGTCCAGGCAGAGGGAGGTGAGCAAAGCAAAGATGGGGCAAAGAGTGTGCCCAGGGCCAAGTCAGGACTGGGATGTGGAGGGGTGAAATCTAGTAGAATGGGAGGCTCTTATGAACTCTCTGAGGAGAATCTACAGAAGCTATTGATACAAGTCTCCCCCACCCCTCCGCACTCTAGGTTGAGAATGCCAGCTGGGGAGACACCAGGCTACTATAAGTGATGATGAATGTGGGAGTGCCAAGGGAGGACCAGCGGAATGCACGTGTTAAGGATCTCTGGCTTTCAAGGGATGAGGAGAAAAGGTGCCAGAGAGGAAGGGGACCATGGAGGCTGAGTCAGCCTGTCCACTTCCTGGGCCTGTACCCGGGGCCATCCACTGCCCCTGAAGCTGGAAACAGGCCTGCCTTATTCTCTTCTTCTCTCCCTCCCCTCCCTGAGTTCTGGTCTGGGGTGGAGAGAAACAGCACAACTCTTACTCCAAATTTTGGCGGGCAGGTTGGGACCTGCTCACAGGTCACCCAGCTATCTGGGACAGGTGCTGGAGGAGGGGTGTCTGCTAGCCAGAAACAGGTGTGAAGGGCCCTGGGGTCTCTGGTTTGGGGTTAGGCAGGCTTGGCTGAGGAGCATCCCACTGGACTTCTATGCTCCTTCGTTGTCTGAGCTGCTATACAGACCAATCCTTGTGTCGGGGGGTGGGGGGGCCCTTCACAGCTACATCTTGGCATACTCTTACTGTATTTTCAAAGTGAAAGTCACTCAGTCGTGTCTGACTCTTTGTGACCCCATGGACAGTAGCCTGCCATGCGCTGTCCATGGGATTCTCCAGGCAAGAACACTGGAGTGGTTGCCATTCCCTTCTCCAGGGGATCTTCCTGACCCAGAGATCGAAACCAGGTAGGTCTCCTGCACTTCGGGCAGATTCTTTACCATTTGAGGCACCAGGAAATCCTGAAGTCAGGGCCTAAACTCACTCTCCCCATCAAGTCCCTGACTCTTTTCATCAATAACAATCTTTCCTTTCCACATTCTCCCAAAGGACACAGTTCTTATAACACTCTTCATCTTCTAAAATTACCTGTGGATCTGGCTATCTCCCCCACTGGACCAGAAAATCCCTTGGATGAGGGTCCACATCAGATTCAAATGCACAGGCAGCCAGGCGGATCTCATAAATAGGTGATGAAGTTCATTTATGAGACCAGGATGGTATTTATCCTAGTGTGGACCAGAAAATTGGGAGTCTTAAGATCTGTGATGAATGGGGGAGGGGACCTGCCTCACCTAAAGGGGTAGCTGCTCTCCTTGAAAACACTACCATGTGGGAGTGTAGGTGTATATTGCCAGAACTTCAGATTTTCAGGGAGAAGAAGGTATCAGCATTCTCATGTGAAATCACCACATCTTTAGTGTCAGCAGTAAATTCAAATTTAAGACACCACATTGTGAGCCAAATGAATGCATCTGCAGGCCAGACTGACTTGAGTGCCACCCATTTGCAGCCTCTAGATTTTTTGTATATTGCCAGTGCCTGGCACATCATAGACGCTCAATAAATGCTTGTTGATTGAAACGCAAATGAGCAAACGAATGAATGAATAGAAAAGAAGGAGCAGATGGCTGGGAGAGGGGAAACAGGATGGATGCCCAAGAGTCAAGATGCCAAGTGGCAGGTCGGGCAGTTCAAGGTGACCCCAGTGCCAAGCTGTCAGTGTGAACATCATGGTGGTCTTGCTGGCTGACTGGGGTTGGGGGGCAGGCATGAGAGACTCGGAGCCTGTGAACTCAGAGTCAGCATCCAGCTCTCAGAAGGCACTATGCTAAGACACTCTCATTGCAGGCAAAACACAGACACAGCAAACAAACTGGTGTGCGCACACTCACTTGTACAAGGTGTGCAAAAGTGGAGGCTCAGGCATGCCACAGATTCCACACTCCCAGAGACGTCCACCTTCTGCCAAGGGAAGAAAGAAGAGATGATTCTGCAATTTGAGGGGAGCAAGGCGGAAAGAAAAGAGTCATCCAGCCAGAATTCTGTCTCTAGCTAGAAACTCCTTCTCTGCTCCTGTGGACCGCACTGAAGCCTTGGGTGGGGGTGGCCATGTGTGAGCCTGGCGTGGACCCTCAGCCTCCAGGAACTCTATCAGGAGGGAGTGGTGTGCACGCTGCCCGAGTGGAATGCCTGGGGCTGCAAAAGAAAAGTTATTTCAGGTTCAACTGAGTTATAATTTATTTTTTCTAACCGATCATTACTGCTGCCGGCTCTATAAATAACCACCCAGGGAGGCTGCTTTTCTGCTCCCAAATCCTCCAGAAGCACTGCCAGGTTCTCTGTGGTTTCTGGCCTGCCAAACACACAGCACATTTCTTTTCTGTGCAGCCCTTCAGGGAATCCTTCTGCAGTGCATGCCAAGGAATCTGCTGAGTTCTGCCCGACTCAGTCCTCCCCTTCCCGATCCAATTCCTCTCCTTCAAACAGGCCACTCAGCCCCCCACCCCCACTCCACAAGAGGCCTCGCCGCCTGGACACAGGTGGTTTCCAGGCCAAGGTCCCAGCTTCTCCCTGTTTACTCTGCTTCAAGCCAACAGCAGTCCTCCATGCTCAGAAGACAGGAGTTATTTGCCATACAGAAGCTCAGCTGCTGCAGCATCCAAACTTCAGCCCAGGAAGGAAAAGAAAGTTAGCCTGATAGCATCACCAGCAAAATATCAAAGGTCAATACAGCCCCAGGAAGGATGGCTGTGGTTTACATGAAGTCAACTTAAATTATTTAAAGAAGAACATATTCAAGCATGACTCAGTTTAATCAAGTACAAAAAGAAAAAAGTATGCTCTTGGTGGTGTTCGGAAGGATGGAGAAATCCTTTCTAAGTGCATGGCACTTTCTCTTTAAACAGAGGAACTAGGAAGGAACTGATATTCAGGGAGACCCACCATGTGCCAAGCACTATGCTGGGTCCTACTTGCTCATTGTTCTGTTTGATCTTCACAGCATGGTGTATCGGAGGCAGGCATCTCTGTGTCCATTTTGTAGATGAGTGGCCCAAGAAAACAGACTTACTTGAAGTCATATAGAAGGAAAGATTCCAGCCCAAGTTTGCCAGACTCCAAAGCCCACATTCTTCCACTGCAATGCCCTATTGCCTCTCTAACTGGGGAACCAGAGTCTGAAGACATGTTTATTTTTCTATTCTTCAGGTTAATTTCGCAGCTCGGAAAGCAAGGACAACTTGGATATTTAACCACACTCATCCACTGCTATATTTAAACTCCTTGGAAACTACTCACTCTAGCTAGTCAACTGTGAACCCTTAGGCAGTCACTCTCCCGCCATCTATTAGGAAAATGACCATAAGGCCCACTTGTTGCTCTGCTGCTGTTTAGTCATTCAGTCATGTCTGACTCTGCAACTGACCATGTTGCTTTAATGGTCTAGAACTGAGAGCTTATGTATTCTTGAATAATTTTAGAAACAATAATTACTGAGACTTCCTCAGTGGTCTAGTGGTTAAGACTTCACCTTCCAATGCAGGGGGTGTGAGTTCAACCCCTGGTTGGGGAGCTAAGATACCACATGCCTTATGGCCAAATCACCAAAACATAAAACAGAAGCAATATTGTAACAAATTCAATAAAGACTTAAAAACAATCATTACTAATATTAACAAAACAACTTTTGAAAATGTCAAGTATTCACAATTATTCAATCTCCCAAGATAAGTTAGGTAATCCCTCTATATGTTGCCTTGACAGCGCCTCATGCTCACACTGTCAAGGAACACTAATAACACCAGGCTGTTGTTTAGTCGCTAAGTTGTGACTCACTCTTTTGATGACCCCATGGACTGTAGCCCACCAGGCTCCTCTGTCAACAGGATTCCCCAGGCAAGAATACTAGAGTGGGTTGCCATGTACTATATTGTAATACATGGTATTAAATACATAACATTGATAAATATATTTTAATAAATAAATAAAATGAGACCTCTCATATCAAAAAAGAAAAAAAAAAGGACAAGGAGCTTGTTTTCCATGGAGCTTACAATGCAGTCCATGAAACAATGTCAGGTAATGTCAGCTAGTGATAATTGGCACAAAGAAAATAAAACAAGGTGTTGTGATAGAAAATGATAGTGAATGACTGTGGGAGTGAGAGGGAAGCCACATAGGGACCTCGAGGAAGGTCTCTGCGAGTTGCATGATGAGGAGGCCACCATGCTAAGGTCTACTTGGAGAGTAAGTGCCCTGGGCAGAGAGAATGTCAAGTGCAAGGTCCTAGGGCAGGAGAGGAGGCCAGTGTGGCGGGACTATAATGAGTTTGTAGTAGGAGTTCAAAGTATGAGTGTAGTAGGAGAGGCTGGAGAAGTTAGAAGCTAAGGGCGGGAAGTCCCTGCCAGAGACAAATCCTAGCCACAATGCCTACTAACTGAGTGAACTTAGAGATTAATGCCACAAGCTGCTCAGGGTTATAAAAGGAGTTCTGTAAAAGACAGGCTTCCTGGTGGCTCAGACCATCAAGAATCTGCCTGCAATGCAGGCGACCTGGGCTCAATCAATCCCTGGGTCAGGAAGATCCTCTAGAGAAGGGAATGGCTACCCACTTCAGTATTCTTGCTTGGAGAATTCCATGAACAGAGGAGCCTGGTGGGCCACAGTCCACAGGTTGCAAAGAGTCAGACATGATTGAATGGCTAATACACACAGGTAAAAGATGAAAAGAATAAACATATGAAACATCAATATCAATTAGAAGCATGCACAGCACACAGTTTATGTCAATAAATGGCAGTCTTTGGTATCTGTTCACTTGTTTAACATTGATCTCCCTATAGCATGGAAGTTCTGTACCAGTTGGGCACAGTCTTCTACTCTGCTGATCCAGAGCAGCTGTCATCTTGCTTTGCCAATTGAAAGAGCTCAATGAAAATTTACTAAATGAATGAGTTGAAAAATGGATAAAGGCTATAGAATATCAGACCTTGGCTGAATACAAAAGACAGATTTTGTTTTAACTAAACTTTTTTCTAATTATAAAAATAATGTCATGTATATTCTGTGAGTCTTTGATATTTGAAACAAATATAGAAGCATATTCTACACATCACTTAAGATGTATTTTCTGCTTCATATGTTGATATGAGAGGTAGTAGATCATATGGGTTAAGAACGCGTGGGCTCTAGAGAGACTGCTGGGATGTACTGTACATCCTGCCCCCATCATTGGCCATCTATATCACTTCACTGAAGTTACTTGCACTCTTCATGGCTCAGTTATTTTTATCTGTAAAATAACCGGCCAACCTTGCAGTAGTATCATGAAAATTGAGTTGATACAAAATGCCTAAGTACTTCTTGGACTGTGGCACCACTGATTTAACCAATCCCCTCTTGTTAGAAGCATGACTACTTCTCAGGTTTTATAATAAACATCACACTAGAAATATCCTTATAGCTAAACTCTTATAATGTAAACAGGATTTCTCTTCTCAAAAGAAAGCACTAGAAATGGCATTACCAAATCAAAGGTTATACAGATTTTCAGGTTTTTAACACAACTGCCAAACTGTCCTCAGAATACAAGTATGGGGACAAATTTCCTCAAATTTTCATCTATGCTAAGTACTAACCTTTAAGAAAATCTTTGCCAATTTGTTGGGGGAAAGAAGGACATTTTATTGTTTTAATTTCCCTTTTTTTAAATTACCAGAAATGTGGAACAGTTTTCATTTGTGTTGCTTCTCTTGTGAATTGCCTGCTAATGTTTAAAATGAAAGTCCATTCTAGTAATTAGAAGCAGCAAAATAGGTGGCTTAAAGTGAATTCCCTGCTATAGGGAACAGTCACACTGAGCCAGATGGTTGTATACTATGGAAGTTTCACATCTCTTTATCTTGTGGAGAGCCGAACTAGGTGAGCTCCGCAGTCCTCCCTAACCCTGAGATTTAACTCTGGCTCAAACCAGCAAGGGGAGTCACCAAGCCTGATAGGAAAAAAGTCCCTGCAAATCAACAGCTGGACTCTAGGCCCCTCTGAGACCAGTGGTCCCCATGCTTTCCCAGGATAGATTTAATAGCTAAACTTCCACCAGGAGCCTCTGCGTAAGGATGCCCACATTATATCAGAAAGAAAAGTTCAGGTGATGAGGCTATGCCTCGAGCAGATGAGGACACGC